ATACTACACCACCCACCCACCACCACCACACACACACATATATATATATATATATATTTATATATATATATACCTAAATACATACATACATATATACATACGTACATATGCATGCATACACACACCTACATACATACATATATATATACATACGCACATTCATACATACATATATACATATATCCAATGTTACAGACTGATAGAACCTGGTCATGCCTAATAGACATACATACATATTATACATCCATACATCAGCTGATACACTCTCTAACCCACATACCGGTTCGTAGGGTTGAGCCATAATCTTTAAAAACCGCCGTGACACTGAAACCGCCTCCTGCGTCGCTAAATTGGAATTGCGGTCGTCGATCTTCTCGTTAATCCACCCAGGTAACTTACTTCGCTTGTCCATCCGAGAGTATCGCTGTTATAAGTTGTTGTATGTGGTGTTAGACTAAAACCCTAAACCCTAATACGAGTGTCTGTATTATATGTTGTACGTGGCTGTAGGTAGTATATATCTTCACGAGTGTCTGTGTAGTATGTTGTTGTATGTGCTTGTAGGTGATATATAATTTCACGAGTGTCTGTGTTATATAGTGTTGTATGTGGTGGTAGGTATTACATAACTTCACAAGTGTCTGAGTGATATGTTGTTGTGTGTTGTTGTTGTATGTACTCACTTTATCAGCAAAGATCATTATCCCATAGTCTGTCTTGCTGCGCAGTACTCGACCCACACACTGTGCCGCGTGTCTCATGGCGTCAAACGTCAGGAAATCCGCTTCTTTGATCTGGAATTTATCACGAAGATACTCTAAGCGAGCCTGTGAGTGTACGTAACGTTAGAGATTAGCGAGGGAGTAGGTAAGTACATATAGTGACTAGCGATGAAGTAGGTAGGTATGGCTAGAGATTAGCGGGGAAGTAGGTAGGTACATATAGTGACTAGCGAGAAAGTAGGTAAGTATAGCTAGAGATTAGCGGGGAAGTGGGTGTAGCTAGAGACGAGCGTGTATTACAAACGGATAGAGATTAGTGAGAAAGAAGGGAGGTATAACTAGAGAATTGTGGAAGAGCGGGTATATTTCGTGATTAGCGGGAGAGTAGGTGTAGGTAGCGACTAGCCGAGAGGTAGGTATAGTTAGCCAGAAGGTAGGTATGGTTATAGATCAGCGAAGTACGATGCATTGGCAGAGTGCACGCGATATCAAGAAAGAAGAAAGGCGATAGAATAAAAAAAACAACTCTCCCCCCAAAAAAACCCATGTCGACCGCACAGGACGACACCAGAGAGATAGTCGACGGACTTTCGGTTTGCATGGGTTGTATTGTGAGGAGAGGATATAAACAAAGGGTACTATTTGCACGTACATTCCTACTTACACATACAATCCTATTTACATATATTTCAATTTACACATACATTCCTATTTACACATACATTCCTATTTACACATACAATCCTATTTACATATATATTTCAATTTACACATACATTCCTACTTGCACATACATTCCTATTTATACATACATTCCTATTTACACATACATTCCTATATACACATACACATTCCCACCTACCCTTAATATCCGCGATTCTGTATATACGAAGGGAATGCCGAACATGATCACACAGCGACCGAAGTGGTGATCGAAATCAACACCCTCAGACACTTTACCACGCGCAACAGAAAACAGCACAGCCCCACGGCCATTCTCACACGCCTGGAAGAACAACGGAAAGCACTGAGTAAGTACGACAGTATGTATGGAAGTACAATGGGAAGTACTGAGTAAGTACGAAAGTATGTGTGGAAGTACAATGGGAAGCACTGAGTAAGTACGACAGTATGTATGGAAGTACAACGGGAAGCACTGGGTAAGTACGGCAGTATGTGTGGAAGTACAACGGGATGCACTGGGTAAGTACGACAGTGTGTGTGGAAGTACAATAGGAAGCACTGAGTAAGTACGACAGTATGTGTGGAAGAACAATGGGAAGCACTGAGTAAGTACGAAAGTATGTGTGGAAGTGAAGGTATGTATGAAAGTATGTATGAAAGTATGTAAGAAAGTGTGTATTAAAGTATGTATAAAAGTATGTATGAAAGTATGTAGGAAAGTATATATAAGAGTGTGTATGATAGTATGTATGCAGGTATGTATAAAAGTATGTATGAAAGTATGTATGAAAATATGTATGAAAAGATATAAACGTTCTAAAATGCCATACCGCACACAAAACGAGAGGAGATGCGCTGATACTACAACTCACCCAGCAGGAAGATCTAGCCGCACACACGAAACACACACTCAAAGCATTTCCAGGAGACTTCTCACCAGTATGTATGGTTTTCTAACCAGGGGTAGGGTAAATAGTTTAGGGTTTAGAGGTTTCTGGCTCCTCCGTACCTTCTGGTAATTCTCTAGGGCCAGTGCCGTTTCCGCGGCATCCTGCGTCTCGATGAACAGTAACTTGTGCTCAAGCAACTGCTGCAGTATGCCGTGCTCTTGCCATGCGCCTGCGATGAAAGGGTTCATGTTAATATAGAAAGTGGACAAGTGGTTCAAAACCCTAAAACCTTACAGAGACATCACACAACTATATGAACAGTAACTTGTGCTCAAGCAACTGCTGCAGTATGCCATGCTCTTTCCATGCGCCTGTGATGAAATGGTTCATGTTAATATAAGAAGTGGACTAGTGGTTCATAAACTATATGAACAGTAACTTGTGCTCAAGCAACTGCTGCAGTATGCCATGCTCTTGCCAAGCGCCTGTGATGAAATGGTTCATGTTAATATAAGAAGTGGACTAGTGGTTCAAAACCCTAAAACCCTACAGAGCAGAAGTTGGGCCCAGCACACCCCGTATGTACAGCAGATCACACGTCATCATACAACTAAAACCCTAAAACCCTACAAAGACACCACACAACTAAAACCCTAAAACCCTACAAAGACACCACACAACTAAAACCCTAAAACCCTACAAAGTCACCATACAACTAAAACCCTGAAACCCCTACAAAGACACCATGCACACTTACCCACAATTGCCTCCATATACGTGTACGATACAAAGAAGCAGACCATCCCATCGGGCACACACGACGCAAACTCTATCAGGATAGACCCGTAATTCCTAATCACCGACACATCGTCGCGGGTTTCGTACTTGGACGACACAGACACCTGTGGCACGAGTGGTAGGTAAGTGAGCATGGACGAGATAAGGATTGTATTACAGTAGGTAGATGAGCATGCATGAGATAGGTGTGGTATCAGAAGTTATATACACATCGTGTGTGTCTAAGTGTTTTACAGTACATAAATTAGCATGAGATAGGTGTGGTATCAGAAGTTACATGCACATCATGTGTGTCTAAGTGTTTACAGTACATAAATTAGCATGAGATAGGTGTGGTATTGAAAGTAATATATACTTCGTGTGTGTCTGAGTGTATTGCAGCGTGACTGGTGAGATGGCTTGACCAGTTCGTGATATCGTGCAATCGTATTAGAGCATGGATGTTCAGGCTTTAGACTTAACCAAGCGCCACTCGAGTGATTCAGAGCAGAGAGTGATTGACAAGGGTGCCTTGACGACACAAAAACCCTAAACCCTAAAAACCCTAAACTCTAAGACTGTGACAGAAGACGATGAATCAGCTATACACAGTGACTCACACAAACTCACAACCAAATCCAAGTGAGTGCACAAATAAATGCTATAGGCTGATTCTGCACACCAGGCAGACGCTCCACATGGTACTAAACCCATAAACAATAAACCCTCAAACCCTGAACCCCCGAAACCCCTGAATGCCACGCGTCGTTCGCTCGCATTCAGCCAGCCAACCTGATCGTCGCCCTTGGTGATGATGAGTGGCAGCACACACTCTCGATGCCTGGGCATAGACATCTTGAAGCTCTGCACCGTGACCGGGACAAAGCTCAAGATCTTCGGGTACATGTCAAGGGGAGAGAGAGTGCCGGAGGTGACCAGCACAGTGTGGAAGCGGTCGAATATGGGCTTAACCGCCAGGCTGTGGTAGGAACGATGTGGGAGAGGGTAGTGGGATAGGGGGGTGGATGGGTGGGACGGTAGTGATTAAGTGGGAATTAGTTTAGTGATTGATTGGGGATTGGTTTGGATCTCAATTGGGAATTAGGTTGGTGATTAATTAGGAATTAGTTTGGTAATTGATTGGGAAATCGTTTGGTGATTAATTGCGAATTAGTTTGGTAATTAATAGGAGGTTAAGTAGTACTTACTTGGTAGTGAATTTGTCATTCATGCCTAGTCAATTGACATATAATTGGTAATTGATTGGTATTTAATTGGTGACTGATTGGTAGTAAATTAGTATATAATTGGTAATTAATTGGTAGCAAATAGGTATATAATTGGTAATTGATTGGTAGTATAATTGGCTGTGAATTGATGATTAATTGGTAGCAATTAATAATTATGGTACGACATGAACGATGCTCAATTGGAATATGCTTCTCACACCCCTCCCCTCACACACACACACACATTATATATATATACATACACACACACACACAT